TCAGTCACTGATCTTATTCTACTCTTTGTCAAACACATTAAGAATGCAATACCTACCTCCATTCATTTCTTTCATCTTAGTCTGTATATATATATATATACACACACACACACACATATACACTGTATATATAGTTTTAGGTTCTAATTTTTTTTTTCTTTTGTATTCCAGTGAGGATGATGCCAGTACCGTGTACAAGACAGCAGCTGTGCTAGACATGACAGGCTCTAGCTATGTGTGGTTGGTTGGAGAAAGAGAAATTTCTGGAAGTGCCTTAAGATATGCACCTGATGGTAATGTGACCCTATCACGCTTAAGAAACGCAATGTGATACAACCTCACCTTTACTAAAAAAGATTTTATGTCTTAAGCAGCTCCGAAGCCACTGCGTCAATTGAAAAGCATTGGGATTCTGTGACCAGAGCTACGTTACATCAGGAATGACCCAGCAGTTCCAAGCATTGTAGTTTTGGGGCTGATTGTGGGAAGATTGTACATGGCAAAGATACAAGCTGGGTTACCTTACCAGTTATAAGTGCATATGGAATGGAAGAGTTTCCTATTTAGCAGCTTTAAGATGGAAAAAACATTTAAAGTTTAGCGTATCATTGGCTTGCTTGATGGGAAAAATAAGATAAATACAGTATATCATGCAAAATTGTTGTAAAAATGGTCATGAAACTGGGATTATCCAGTAAATTGTATTGTTAGGCACTATAAAAAAACAAAATTAGCATTTTCATTCCTCCAAGATTGCAAAAATCAGTAGATATTGGCAAAATTTCACCATTTTGAAAAAAATGCATTGAAGTCAGAAAAGGAATTCAAAATAAAGATGGCTTTTTAAAGAGTGCAATGGGATCTAAATGGCTTAAGCAATACAGGAGATACTTCTAAACAGTTTTTGTACAAAAAAAAAACCCATTAGCCTAATTATTGTATTTTTTGAAAGGAAAATAAAAACAAAGAAAAAAGTAAAATTAATTCACAAACAAACACTAACCGAGATATACTAAACTATCCTAAAAACACCCTCTGGATTTAAGGGCCGGTTCACATTATAGAAACACAGTCCAGATGCGCTCTGGTGCATTATTTATGCATTGTTTACACGTTCCAGTGTGTTTTTGATGCTTTCCAGTTAATTTTTTCCCCTCTTCTTCAAATGAAATAGGGACATGTGCGTTCCAGTACATTTTTGGTGCATTCCAGTGCATTCTGGTGCATTTTCTATGTGTTTTACCGAGTTCCAGTACAGTTCTGTGCAGGAAAAATGCAGCCTGTTCCACTTTATTTTCTGCAACCGGAATGCACTGGAACTGCAAGCACTAATGTGAACTATGACAATGACGACCATATAACATTTTGTGCACCATCTGTGCATTTTGGATGTAGAAAAAAAGCAACTGAGATGCATGTAGTGTGAACTGGCCCTAAAAGAAGGGTTTTTTTTTTTCTTCATTTTCTCTAAGAATTGAATGAACTTAGGGTTTCTGCTTCAGAAAAATTTAGCAGTTAGCAAAAAGAGTAATTTTTTTGCAATATCAGTTTCACCAAAAACCCTGAACCCTGCTGGACCCTCAATCAATACAAAAAATAGACATTCATTTAAAAATAAAAAGACAAAAATATGCCTAAAATCCACATAAATTCTGCCCTGACTCCAGTTTATACAATCACACCTATCTCTTGAATTACAAATCAGAGACTCATTTGTTATCGGTATCTGCAGCCTTGTGGATTCCCACCTCTATTCTTTGACATATTTAAAGTTACTGATCAAATCTTGGTTACTCATGGAGAATTTGTACTGGGTTATTGCACATGTGTGAACAATAATGTCACAATGTGTTTCTCCTCTGCTAAAACTGTTTTAATACCAACGTGTGAAAAATGTGTACAAGGGGTGGGAGGTCAGGCAATGGGAGCAATAATATTAAAACTTGTGTCCTGCACAATGTGGAATCATTAGATCTCAAGTGTATTCTTTAAATTTTTATTCGTTTTTCAATTTGACACTGTTTATACCAGTTTTGACTTTAAAGGAAGTAAGCAAAAAAAAAAAAACCCATGCATATATATATATATATATATATATAGTATATATATACAGTCGGGTCCATAAATATTGGGACATTGACACAATTCTCACATTTGTGGCTCTATACACCACCACAATGGATTTGAAATGAAAAAACAAGATGTGCTTTAACTGCAGACTGTCAGCTTTAATTTGAGGGTATTTACATCCAAATCAGGTGAACGGTGTAGGAATTACAACAGTTTGCATATGTGCCTCCCACTTCTTAAGGGACCAAAAGTAATGGGACAGAATAATAATCATAAATCAAACTTTCCCTTTTTAATACTTGGTTGCAAATTCTTTGCAGTCAATTACAGCCTGATGTCTGGAACGCATAGACATCACCAGACGCTGGGTTTAATCCCTGGTGATGCTCTGCCAGGCCTCTACTGCAACTGTCTTGTCTTCAGTTCCTGCTTGTTCTTGGGGCATGTTCCCTTCAGTTTTTTCTTCAGCAAGTGAAATGCATGCTCAATCGGATTCAGGTCAGGTGATTGACTTGGCCATTGCATAACATTCCACTTCTTTCCCTTAAAAAACTCTTTGGTTGCTTTTGCAGTATGCTTTGGGTCATTGTCCATCTGCACTGTGAAGCGGCATCCAATGAGTTGTGAAGCATTTGGCTGAATATGAGCAGATAATATTGCCCGAAACACTTCAGAATTCATCCTGCTGCTTTTGTCAGCAGTCACATCATCAATAAATACAAGAGAATCAGTTCCATTGGCAGCCATACATGCCCACGCCATGACACTACCACCACCATGCTTCACTGATGAGGTGGTATGCTTAGGATCATGAGCAGTTCCTTTCCTTCTCCATACTCTTCTCTTCCCATTACTCTGGTACAAGTTGATCTTGGTCTCATCTGTCCATAGGATGTTGTTCCAGAACTGTGAAGGCTTTTTTAGATGTCGTTTGGCAAACTCTAATCTGGCCTTCCTTTTTTTGAGGCTCACCAATGGTTTACATCTTGTGGTGAACACTCTGTATTCACTCTGGTGAAGTCTTCTCTTGATTGTTGACTTTGACACACATACACCTACCTCCTGGAGAGTGTTCTTGATCTGTTGAACTGGGGTGTTTTCTTCACCAGGGAAAGAATTCTTCGGTCATCCACCACAGTTGTTTCCCGTGGTCTTCCGGGTCTTTTGGTGTTGCTGAGCTCACCGTTGCGTTCCTTCTTTTTAAGAATGTTCCAAACAGTTGTTTTGGCCACGCCTAATGTTTTTGCTATCTCTCTGATGGGTTTGTTTTGTTTTTTCAGCCTAATGATGGCTTGCTTCACTGATAGTGACAGCTCTTTGGATCTCATCTTGGGAGTTGACAGCAACAGATTCCAAATGCAAATAGCACACTTGAAATGAACTCTGGACCTTTTATCTGCTCATTGTAATTGGGATAATGAGGGAATAACACACACCTGGTCATGGAACAGCTGAGAAGCCAATTGTCCCATTACTTTTGGTCCCTTAACAAGTGGGAGGCACATATGCAAACTGTTGTAATTCCTACACCGTTCACCTGATTTGGATGTAAATACCCTCAAATTAAAGCTGACAGTCTGCAGTTAAAGCACATCTTGTTTGTTTCATTTCAAATCCATTGTGGTGGTGTATAGAGCCAAAAATGTTAGAATTGTGTCGATGTCCCAATATTTATGGACCTGACCGTATATATATACTCGAAAGGTGAGGCAACACATGGAGACTGGAAGTGGGGCAAACTAAAGGTGTAAGTGTGGGCAATCAGCTAAATACATCTCTGAATATTTGCTATATTCTATTCAAACAGTTTTCTAACCTTACCAGACCACACAGTTAGGTCCTGACCATTAAATTTTCTCTAATGTAAAACACAGATGCTTTGCTAAGACTGTGATTAGTGAAGGACCAGTATATCACTGATAAGGTCATCTATATTCTCTCTCCTGTAATCAGCAGGTTCCATTAGTTAGATACATAACACTGTGTGCAATGTAGTAGAGCCTGACGGCCTGGCAGCACTATCCCTCCCAGCATTATTAATGATGTGCAAGAAATTATAGTAAACTACTACAAAGACTTCAAGATAACATTTAACTGCATTAAATGGGGGTCTTTTGATGTCCGCCTACACTTACACTTTAAATAATATTACAGCTTTCAATATTGCTTACCCATACTCAGAAATAATCTTTAACCAGATCAGTCATTTGTTAATTTTTCTGTTGTAGGGGTCATCGGTCTCCAGTTGATCAATGGGAAAAATGAATCCGCTCACATCAGTGATGCTGTGGCTATGCTGCACAGGCAATTCATGATCTTTTTGAAAAAGAAAATATTACTGACCCACCTAGAGGGTGTGTGGGAAATACAAACATCTGGAAAACCGGGCCGCTATTCAAAAGGTAATTAGAACTTGACATAGTAGTTCCCCTAATGGTAGCAGAAGCAACCATTCTATAAACCATACATGGCAGCTTCTAAAATAATATACCCAATAAGTGTAGGCCACAGAGAAGCAAATCACATGCATAAAGTGTTGGCCAGTTCACCAAACTACAAAATCTTTCCTGTCTCCTAAACAGTAATGCCCTAAAGCCTTTCATCAGTCCAATTTTTTTTTTAGTTAAAGCTATATTGAAGAAAAGCTAACATTTTTAATAAAATTTTATTTCTCTGACTTTATTGGGAAACCTTTTTCTTACTTTCAGTTCCTGTGACCCATGTACAAGACAAATGTGTATGGTAGTCACTGGTACTAACATTTCCCCATTCAACTAAATAAATTGTTTTCTGTCCCTGTTGGACAGATTTCCCCTTATGTCTTATTCCTACAGGAAGTGAGAGGAAATCTCCTCATAAGGGGAGAAGTGTTTCACGAATTAGTAGATAAAGCTACATGTATATTTGTGTTCTCTTATGTCAGGGTGCTAATGTCCTCCAAATACCCAGAAGGTGTCACAGGAAGGGTGGAATTTAATGAGGACGGAGACAGAAAATTTGCCAACTACAGCATTATGAACCTTCAAAACCGAAAACTCGTCCAAGTTGGGATATTCAATGGAAGCCACGTGAGTAGCACTTCAATCTGGACTATGCGCTGAGTAGGTTTCCCACTATTCTGCAGATAGTGCACCTTTAGAGCTGTGTAAAGAAGACCTGTCAACAGTGATTTTTACATGTAGTAGTATTGTTGGGAATATTGATAATGATATACATGCTCCTTTTATGAGATAATTTTGCACACACTGCTCTATGGTACCATGCAATCTTGAGTGGCAGCCCTGCTTCTTTCATCCCTTTGTATGATTGAGAGGCAGAGTGCTCCAGGAAATGGTAAGTGAACACTGGGAGACTAAGTTAAAAGAGACCCCAGTCTCACAACAGGGTCAAAAAGATGGAACCCCTTATGATGGCAGAATGATGTCAGTTTTTAAGACGTGGAATTGGGAGTAGCAATTTTTTGCACAACTAATATAATTTTTATTTTTTATGAACACTGCTGTTTCATATTAAGCTCACTGTTGACAGGTTCCTTTTAATTGCCACTTGTCTATACAAATCACGGGTCCAACCGTGTTTTCATAGCTTTCCACCACTGTCACCTATTCAGGAGGATAAAGCTGCTAAACCATCATGGCTGCTCTTTTCCCCCTAATTTCTTGCTTTTGTAAACATAGCAATGAGCTTGTATTATTACAATACATGATTGAAAGAAGACAGATTCCTCCAGCAATGACAATTATTACCTCTATAGTGTTATCCAGAAATCTCTGTAGGTGTAAACATCAAACCAGTACTGCTACATTGTTAAAATCTGATGATTTTTACAAAATAAGTGATCTGCTTAATAAAACATTTAAAATATGTGTAGCCTGGTCCTTAAATTTACTTACAGAATATTTCTTCGTTACAAGTTTGATTTTCCTTCTTGCATTGGTGGACAGTGCTGACCTGGAAAGTTTCCCCAACATAGGCAGTGGAGTGTGGTGACTAATGCTACTCAGATTGCTTTTGACTGGAGGGACTTCCAGCAAGGGGATGCAGCCTGGGTCTAGAGGGAGGACAGAGACTCATTGGTGGAGGAAGTGACATGCAGCTTTGGAACACGTGCGCTCTACTGAGTGTGTGTGTGGCCCAGGCAGCTGCTGCATAAGTATTGTGTGCGTATGTGTTTCGGTGTATCCAGGAATACTCTGTTCTCAAGTTGTGCTGTTGCATTAACAGGCTCCAGATGAGCAAAAGGGCCTATACCTTTCAGCAAGCCTCTGGCCAGTTGGCTGTGTTTGGAGGGGAATCAACATGGTCCGTGTTGTCGTTACCAAGTAGTGTCAGGAACAATGGAAAACTGGGGTTGTGTGTAATCATAAACATTACTGGGGCCTCCTGGGAGGAAGGACAATTTAATCAGGCAATGCTGGAATTGGCACCTGCCAACCAAGTGTTTGTTCTGGAAAAAACAAGTGGAACAAACCACAATCGGCACTTTCACCATGTTGTTGTGGAGGAGAGGCATTCTGGCCTGTGTCCAGGAGGCTAACCTATGGCTGACCAGCAACATTGTAGCTCATTTACTCTAGCTAGGAATGCCAACTAGAAACCCTGTGAGTACGAGTCAAGCAGCATTTACAGAAGGATTCCTGCTTGGCAAGAAAAGTTGGAAGAGTGGACCCGAGTCCCGCAGAAGAGGGGAAAAAAGTTAAATATCCAATTTTTTAAAGGAGGGAGGAGTAAAACTAATTAAAGTAGTTAGGCAGTGTGAATCTCTTCACAGACAGAAAAAGGACAGAAAAGGCCTCCAACATCTTGTTCTAGTTTGAAAATATTTATCAGAAGAAAGAGGAGATCTTGAAGTACTCTGTGTAGATTAGAATACTATGAGAAGAGGAAGCCATGTAGAACAAAATGGAAAGAGTCTGGGGCCAGAACTGATTTGTTGGAGTTCAATACCCTCTCCTCCAATCCTCGCCGGCTCTTCTCCACTTTCAACTCTCTACACTCTCTGCCCCCACCTCCACCCAGTACCTCACTCACCGCCCTTGAGATTGTCAATCACTTCAAAAATAAGATTGACACTATTTGCAGGGACATCGCTGCTGCTCAGAGCTCTACCCCACCTACCTCCTCTCACACAGCAACCCCCTCAACACCCCTCCCCCTTGGCCTCACCACTGTTCAGACCTCCACCCCATCTAACATCCATCTAACCCCACTGAACATCCCTCACACAATAGCCCCCTCAACACTCCACTCCCTTCGACCCCACCACCACTGAGGAGGTCACCAAGGTCTTCTCTGAAGCCCGCCTCACCACCTGCCCCCTCGACCTTGTCGCCTCACAACTCCTACGATCTCCCTCCTCCTCCATCCCACGCTCCCTCACCCACATCTTTAATCTCTCCCTCTCTTCTGGCACATTCCCCTCCCCTCTGAAGCACGCACACATCACTCCCATACTTAAAAAGCCCTCCCTGGACCCCACTGACCCGAACAAACTTAGACCCATCTCCCTGCTGCCATTTACATCCAAACTCCTTGAGCGCTTAGTCTATACTCGCCTAAGCTCCCACCTCAACGACAACAACCTCCTCGACCCCCTACAGTCTGGCTGCCATCCCCTACACTCCACTGAAACCGCCCTACTCAAACTCACAAACGACCTGCTAACCGCCAAAGCTAATGGCCACTACTCAGTGCTCTTACTCCTCGACCTCTCCGCGGCGTTTGACACAGTCAACCACCCCCTCCTCCTCAAGAAACTACACTCCCTTGGCCTCAGAGACTCCGCTCTCTCCTGGCTCTCATCCTACCTATTACAACGCTCCATCAGCGTTACCTATAACATTACCACCTCCCCCCACTCCCCCTCTCTGTTGGGGTCCCTCAAGGCTCTGTCCTCGGGCCCCTTCTCTTCTCCATCTACACCTCCTCCCTTGGCCAACTGATACACTCTCACGGCTTCAACTACCACCTCTATGCCGACGACACGCAAATCTATCTCTCAACCCCTAGCCTCACCCCTTCAGTCTCCGCCCGAATCACCAGCCTACTGAACGACATATCAGATTGGATGTTGCTCCACTTTCTTAAACTGAACCTCTCCAAAACCGAGCTCCTAGTCTTCCCCCCAGCCCATGCACCCCCCCCCCCCACTGACTTCTCCATCACGTCCAGCCATGCCGCCATCAAGCCCACCCCGCAAGCCAGAGTACTTGGTGTCATATTAGACTCCAATCTATCCTTCCAGCTCCAAGTCCAATCGCTAACAAACTCATGCAGACTCCACCTCCGCAACATCGCCAAAATACGCCCATTCCTAACCCCAGAAACTACTAAGCAGCTCATCCACTCCCTCATCATATCACGACTCGATTACTGCAACTCCCTCCTCACTGGCCTGCCTCACAACAGGCTATCCCCACTTCAGTCGATCCTTACTCATCCACCTTATCAACCGCTCCGTTTCCACCACCCCCTCTGCCAATCCATCCACTGGCTTCCGATTGCACAACGGATCAAATTCAAACTGCTAACACTGACGAACAAAGCTGTCCATAATTCTGCCCCAAACTACATCACTGACCTAATATCCAAATACCACTCAAAACGCACTCTCCGCTCTTCACAAGACCTCCTTATCTCTAGTTCCCTGATCTCCTCCTCCCATGCCCGCCTCCAGGACTTCTCCAGGGCATCACCCATCCTCTGGAACTCCCTACCCCAATCCATCAGACTATCACCCGCTCTCTTCTCCTTTAGGCGCACCCTAAAAACCCACCTCTTCAGGGAAGCCTACCCCACCCTCTGCTAACTGTCGATCTCCTCCACTCTTCCTACCACTCCATCCCCCACAGCTTTTCCTCCCGTACCACTATCCCCTCCCTCCTAGATTGTAAACTCCAAGAAGTAGGGCCCTTGAACCCCTCTTGTATCGCATGGCATTGTTATTGTGCTGTCTCATGTATTGTCCCCCATTGTAATGTAAAGCGCTGAGCAAACTGTTGGCGCTTTATAAATACTGTATAATAATAATAATTGGTATTGGTTGGAGGGACTTCCAGGAAGGTGGTGTATCTTGGGTCTCGAAAAGAGAGGGAGGACAGAGACAGATGGTGGGAGGAGGTCTTGTGCAGCCATGAAACAAGCATGCTGTACAACATGTGTGTGGCCTGGGCAGCTGCTGCATCAATATTGTGCTGAACAGGAATCCTCTCAAGGACAGAAGAACATAATACAACCAGCAGCTCCTTCAGGGGTAGCACTCAGGGGTGGACTGACAATTCATGGGGCCCCCGGGCAATAGGGGATCATGGGGCCCCTGTGTCCTCGCCCACACTCAAACTACACCCAAAAAAGCCTATGAAATGTACCAGAGGCATCTCAAGGGGCCCCCTACTGACCCCGGGCCCTCGGGCAGTGCCCGAGTTCCCGAACAGTCAGTCCGCCCCTGGTAGCACTACAGATGAAACTTACACTATGTCAGGAAAACAAAGCTTTATCTTCTGTTATTAGTCCTTTATTTTGATTGCTCTTTTATCTTGCAGATTTTACAGAATGACAGAAAGATTATTTGGCCGGGAGGTGAAACAGAAAAAAACCTGAAGGGTACAAAATGTCGACCAATCTAAAGGTATAAACTTTACTATAGTTTGTGTCTTTTACATCTATGGTGTCAGAACTTGCTATGCTATTCTCTATAAAATGTGTAGGTTTAAATAGTTTAGAAATTGCCTTTATTTTGTTGTCAATACTCCAACAATGAAATTCAGTCAATTCTTAATTTTTTTTAGTTTTGCCTAAAGTGGCAAATGTTGAGACCCTTGTTAGGTTTTAAATGCTGTCTATGCCCGCCTTAGAGTAGATTTCTCCTCCTTACCTTTCTGAATCCTGTCACTTGGAAGAGAGGGGAAATCTCCCCAATGGTGACATAGCCAGAAATAAAATCTATAAAGTAGAAGAAAGGTAAGAAGCACTTGATCTCTTCAAGCAGTAGCTGTTCTCAGTCAGGTCATAAGCACTGTAGGGGAGTGATTCTCCTTACGCAAGTTTTCCAGTGGCCAGCAGTCAGCTCTCTTGCTAAAGGGTAGGGACAGGGTGTGCAAGGAGGAAAGCATTTTGGTGCTTTCCAAATTTCCAGATCTGCTTTGCAGATCTAAATGTTCCTCCTCATACAAGAAAATGTGCTTTTATGTCTGTCTGTATCCTTGTAGGGGAATTTCCCCTCAGTTCCTATTCTGTCAAAAAACAGTCAGATAGAATTCAGGGAGATTCTGTCTGACACCTATTAAATAGGTAAGAAGAGGGGAAGCTTCCTCTTACTTCCTGTTCTTTCTGATACAATTAAAATAGACAGAAAGTGGGGAGATTCTAACACCCATTAATAGCAGGAAAGTCGACAGAATTTTTTTTGCTTCCCTTTCTGTCTGATAGCTGACAAATGGACAAGAAAATCTGCCAAACTGGGACACAGACAGTAAATGAAAATCGGAAAGTCAAGTTTTGGCAAATGTTGGGCTCTGAACAAATTTTCTGCTGCAGTAAAAGAGGTTTCAACCTTAAATTTATTGGCCTTTATAGTTTGTTCCCCCAGAATTTCTTTATCTTGTAGGCTTCCTTCAGTGCCTTTTCAGCCATGCCTGAGATGTAACACAAAGAAGCTTTCTGGAAGAAAGAATCTTATGCAGAAAGTACTATAAGCCTGAATTGTGGGTTCTTGCACTCTGATCTTTGCTCTTTAATGTATTGTCATCTTCTATTCCATCCACAGATAGTGACTATTCACCAAGAGCCGTTTGTTTATGTCAAAGCAGCATTACCAGATGGTTCCTGTAAAGAGGAATTTGGTATAACTGGTGAACTTATCAAAAAGGTTCGATGCTCAGGGCCAAATGAGACCATCCCAGGTAAGTAGAGAACTGTATTTTTTCAGCTACTCAGAGGCTGTGCATGATATAAACACTATCCATATTTTCTATTAAAGTGGAGCTCCAGCCAATATTATATATTTTTCAGTTTTGGACAGAGTTCAGAAGGTTTGCAATCTCTGTCCAACTTTTATTGCTCTGTCCTTTTTGGGAAGATTTAAATTCACTTCCTGTTCTACTGACCACATAAGAAGTGAGGGAAAATCTTCCCATGGGAAATATTAATGGCAGTAAAATTAAAATGTTCTAACAGGCGAGGAGCATGTCTACAACTCGTGTAGCCCAATTGCAAAATTTTGATGGGGCCCCAGCTTTCATTAACTTCCCTCTCGGTGATCTCTCTTTTAGACGTACTCAGCAAATTTATTGTATCAACCTACCTGAAATTCTCAAACATAGCTACTTTAGCAAAATTAGAAGAACCTTACTTTGACAAAATGTGATAATCTTAGGTTACCCACTAGAAAATCCAGCACCAGCTCCTGGCTGCTATGGCACAGCAAGAATTACAACTCCATGAAGAGCAGAGGATCTCTTTCTTTGCAGAAAGAAAATGGAAGAACTAGTACAGCAGCAACTGGTGTAGGGGCTCCTCAGTGGGGATTTTCTCTGCATAACTAACTAAAAGAGTAGAAGATGCCCAGCTCCCATGCTACTTCTCCCAGATAGGCCATTTAATCCATAGCCTATGAATAGGTGGGACCAAGCTGTCAGTGAAGACAGATGAAACTGGCACAGTATTTACTCTACTCCTTGTAGGGAACGTGGTCTTGCATCTCCCTTCAGTCTCTGCACATATGCATGTTCAAGGGACCTCTGAATGAAGGTACATGGTCTAGTCCAGCAATGGGCAAACTACGGCCCGCGGGCAGTATACGGCCCGGCGGACCTTTTAATCCGGCCCGCGGAGCGTGATACTGTCAGGATGGCTGTCAGGATGTGTGTAGGCAGGGCAGCGTGACGAACGTGAGGGGAGCTAGGCTCCTCTCACAGTCCGCCCTGAAGACTGGAACGGCGCGGGAACACGGCGAGAGGAACGCGCGGAGCAAAGGTAAGTGAATTGACACAGGGGGGACTTGGGGACTTAATATGGGGATGAACTAATATGGGGAATGAATTACTATAGGGGGGATGAATTACTATAGGGGGGATGAATTACTATATGGGGGGATGAATTACTATGGGGGATGAATTACTATGGGGGATGAATTACTATATGGGGGATGAATTACTATGGGGGATGAATTACTATGGGGGATGAATTACTATATGGGGGATGAATTACTAATATGGGGGATGAATTACTATGGGGGATGAATTACTATATGGGGGATGAATTACTATATGGGGGATTAATTACTATGGGGGGATGAATTACTATATGGGGGATTAATTACTATGCTTACTATGGGGGAATATTACTATACTTACTATGGATGACACATACACATCATTCATCTACTCTTGGTCCGGCCCCCGGGTCCAATATATGAACCCATTGTGGCCCTCAAGTCAAAAAGTTTGCCCACCCCTGCTCTAGTCTCACCCTTCACAGGTCCTGACTTTTTGCAATTACCACACAATCCCATGGAGTGCATAGTATCCTAGACACCATGGTCACTTTCTGAAAGAGTGCTGAGCCCTAGAGCAGATAAATGGGGTGAGATAGTTATAGCTCTAACCCTGATTCTAACCTTCCTCAGTCTATCCAAAAACATCTAATAATAAATTAAAAAGATTTAGCTGGTGTTGCACTTTAAATGCACATGGCTTGTCTCCTTGTAAATTCTAACTTTAAGAATAGTCAGAAATGTAAACACAATTTAAATCCTGCAACAATTACAGTTCAACTTCAACATTTCCCTGCAAACATTGAGATAAAAGTTGAATCACAGGTGCTGATACATTCACTTAGATCAACAATGTCAAACTCAATTTCATGGCAGGCCGCCGCATCACTAGTTATGGTTGCCTTCAAAGGGCTGGTTGTATCTGTAAGACTATATAAATTTATTCAGGGTTTTTTTTTTCTTAGAACTGCATTGAACAGTGGGTGTAGCCAAATTGCACAACAGTGGGGGGATCTTAAAGGGGCAATAAATACCAGGAGGGCATTATGTGTGGAGTTCAGGGATGCATAAAGTACAGAGTGAAGGTTCAGATGTGTGCTATGTATAGAGTGTAGTTTCAGGGGTGCCCTATGCACAGAGCGCAGAGTACAGGGGTGCGCTGTGTACAGAGTGCAGGGTTGAGGAGTGTGCTACATACAGAGTGCAGGGTTTAGAGGTGTGCTATGCACAGTGTGCAGGATTCAGCTTTCTTTCATAGGCTGTCAACATCTCACCCCTCCCGGCTCTGACCACTGCCTCCCCCTCCAAAAGCTGCTCTGCATCTCACCTACTTGGCCCTGGCTCTAGTAGTGCCTCCTGGCAGTGTAGGCAGCTCCACCTCTCTCTCACTTGCAGGGAGATTATTGGTCAGCATTTGTGCACCCAGGCACAGATAGGGATCACAGTGCAGCTTTTCATGTAATGCCCCATCCTACACTGCACCTGCATTTCATTTCTCCCCACCATGAGTGCTGGGTAGGCAGGGATCTGTGAGAGCCACCAAGAGGAAAGTTGTCATGGCTGAAAAAAAAGCCCTGGGTGCAAGGGCCCCATAAAGTGGCCTGGTGGCCTGAAGGCCTTATGTTTGACACTTGTGACTTAGATAAATGGGTTTTAGAGCTATCTCTTTTCATTAATGTGGAGGGGCTGACTCAGCTGAGTCTATTCCACATCAGCCGACTATCTAACCTCCCTTATCCTTCCTAGCAAAGCCATGTAAAGGGATTCTCAAAAATCCTCAAACAAGGCTTTAAAGTCTGGTTTCTAACACCTTAGAAATACTTCCTGTGTATTTACATTAGAGAGCTGGTAGGCTGTCAAGATTCTGCTGTCCACATAAATAGCTGAGAGTTCAGTGTCTCTATTGTGAACTTTAAGGATGAACTTCTCAATGCATATAGCTACAGAGATGAGTGCCAGGTTGCTGTAAATTGTTTTCACTGCTAATTCAGAATATGTAAACACTTTAGAAGGCTCATTTTAAAACTCTGATTAACCTATCTGCTCCCTTTCTGCCTGGCATTAAAGTGTATGCAAACTAAAAAAAAAAAAAATACATGGTGGCTTACTATTCACTAATTTCAGTTTATTTCTTTTTTTTTTTCTACAAAGTTGCATTTTAATAACCCTACCTGCTACTTCCTAGAGTAGCAATGTTCCCTGAAAATCTCTATATAGGATCACCATTGTCACCATAGAAGGCTCCTGCTGCGGGCCGTGTGCTGATATGTAGAGGCACAGCGCGTCTGTGCCTTACATGTAACAAAGCTCTAGCCTGTGATTAGCTGTGGAAGCCATTGAAAATGATTTCAGCTACAGCTGTGACATGGTCCACAATGAGGTAGTATAATAAGGGAGCTGCTAAGCTAGGCATAGTACAAAGATTTTAAAAGGTAGAAAAGCAAATTAAAAGAAAAAAATACATGAACTACAAAAAAAGATGTATTTTTGGAAGGTTTAATTATCTTTTTAAATGCATACACTGCACCGGCTGAAGACATGGAGATTTATAATGGGGGCTGGATGGGCCATAATCTCAGACAAGCGTCAGCCAATGGCTTCTTGGGAATGAGATATCTCTAAAGGAATATTTTTGGTAACAAAGTATATTTTTTAATTTTTTAATTTCATGTCTTGCATCAAACGTCACTGAAGGATAAAATATTTTACATGAGAAACGTTCTGTTCAAAATATTACCATAAATGCATAGCTTCTCTGTTGAGCTCTACATAAACTACAGGTCCTCATATTTCAGATGGAGGAATGATCCTGGTTCCATCCTACACCATCGATCTCCCATTCCCATCATCTCATTTGCAGTTGAAGAATTTTCCATCTCCCTCTGTCTCTACTAGGTCGCCCCACCATCCCCCAGTGTTGTTATGGCTTCTGCATTGACCTGCTGCTGAAACTTGCCAAAGAAATGAATTTCAACTATGAATTCCACCTGGTGGCTGATGGGAAGTTTGGTACACAGGAGCGGGTAGGTGAATTACATACCCCCTTCCAATATTGAGTGCATGGTTGCTACTAATCTCAGCACAAAATTTACCATTGCCTTGAAGAAAAATATGCCTTCTGTTTGCTTGTAACTCTTTGTAACCTGCGCAATAAAGTCTTGTTTTTTTTGTTAGGTGGAACTATTTGTTTTATTTTTTTTCTTGTAATTTTGTATTAATTCCATGAAAAGACTATTTTTAAAGTTGAACTCCATACTAAATAAATATTGTCTGAATACAAGGATCATGTGTGTTCTTGTTGAATCCTGGTGTGATTTGTGCATTTCATAGTTACATAGTTAGTCTGGCTGAAAAAAGACAAAAGTCCATCCATTTCTTCCTAATCTAATCCAGTGTGAAAATATAACTCTGCGAAAGAGCTTCTTGTAATAAATACTGGTCACTGCTGCCCTCTCTCCTTGTGCAGGGTGACTGGTCTTGTCTCCACCCCCTCCTGTAGTTTTCTGCAGGCAGCCTGTAGTGGGTGTGGCCTGCTGTGTCCTTCCCACAACTCTGCTCTCTACACAGGCTATGTACAGCTCAGTGATAATGTCACTGCTACTTTTACAATGTAATATCTGGATTTGTGAAAATATTTGGTGCACATAAAGTGGATTTACATCATTTGTGGTTTTGGAGCAATATATTTAAATAAAAATTTTTTGCCTGGAGTTCAGCTTTAAATGCTAGAGGCATATGAATCTGAATATGTATTGGTAGTTTCCTGTGATCCCCTATAAAGCAGCACTCTGGTTGGGAGAGGGAGTAACAACACAAGACGCCAGCTGATCTCTATAGCAGTACACACATGCTGAGGGAGGAGAGAGGAGATGAACACATCAGTGTGCTATTGCTCCTTCTTGTCCAATCAGCTGGCTAGGGGGAAATGTTTTCTTTAGCTGCACAATGATACACTCTTTGGCAGGTAAAACAGTGCACATAAATGCATTTATTTGTTTACCTGGAGTTCAGATTTAGGACCTTATTCATAAAGACTCATAGACCCCTGTTCAAAGGACAGCCAGCCTGCAAAAATCAATTACTTACTTATGGCTGTATAAATCTTCTTGCACATCCCAGTGTGTATATCTGCACAGGAACAGATGCAAAACTCTGGATGCAGTCTATTTGCATCAAGAGCTGTTCATCCTTCTCTGTACAGATATACACTCTCAGATGCGCAGGGAGATCTGTACAACTGCTGCATCTGTCAGCCTGTCATTGATTATTACAGGCTGCCTGCCTTTGGCTCCACAGAACACCAGTCACTCTTTGGCCACATAAATGCGGCCCTCTGCACAGATGTAGGGGTGGGTGCCTCCATGTGAATGAACCTTAAAAGTGAAGAATAGTGGACATACCCACTTAGAGAATGTGTATGTATATATATATATATATATATATATACAGTATATATATATATATATATATATATACAGTGGCCTAGCCAGTCTCCAGATCTCAACCCCATAGAAAACCTTTGGTGGGAGTTGAAAGTCCGTGTTGCCCAGCGACAGCCCCAAAACATCACTGCTCTAGAGGAGATCTGCATGGAGGAATGGGCCAACATACCAGCAACAGTGTGTGCCAACCTTGTGAAGACTTACAGGAAAAGATTGACCTCTGTCATTGCCAACAAAGGATATAGAACAAAGTATTGGGATGAACTTTTGATATTGACCAAATACTTATTTTCCACCATAATTTGCAAATAAATTCTTTCCAAATCAGCCAATGTGATTGTCTGGATTTTTTTTCTCATTTTGTGTCTCATAGTTGAGGTCTATCTATGATGCCAATTACAGGCCTCTCTCATCTTTTTAAGTGGGAGAACTTGCACAATTGGTGGCTGACTAAATACTTTTCCGCCCCACTATATATATATATATATATATATATATATATATATACACACAGGTGCATTTTGCAATACAAGCTCCTGGGAAATATGCTAAGGCTTGCTTTTACATAACTGATCCATGCAAGCTTGTGGAAGAAGATTTTTTTATCCACTTGTCAGATTACAGACAGCTGCCGGTGCTTTAATCCAGGATAATACTTTATAAACTTTCTGTGTCTCTTTGCAGCGGGTTCTGCTGATGTTAGTGGCGTTGCAAACTTGCTCATTTAATCATCTTATCCTAAGCTGATAAAAGTGTAGGATACAGAAGGACCAAACCTCCTCCCTTAACTCTTCCCATTCTGTCATTGCAGGTCAATAACAGCAATAAGAAGGAATGGAATGGAATGATGGGTGAGCTGTTGAGCGGACAAGCGGACATGATCGTTGCACCTCTGACCATCAACAATGAAAGAGCTCAATATATTGAATTCTCCAAGCCCTTTAAATATCAGGGGCTCACCATCCTTGTGAAAAAGGTTTGTGGGGGGAATTGTGCATCCATGATACAGTGCATGCCATGTTCTTAATTGATGGATTCAAGTGGGATGCCAGTCAAAGCCTTGGTTATAGTGGGGAAGACTGAGAACCTCTCTTTTTATTGTTGGGGATATCTGTTTTTACTGCTGCCCTGGGCTCTGGTAAAGAGGGTCCCCTCAGTTCCTGCCCTACTGACAATGTTCTACCAGACAGAAAATCTCCAATAACAACACAGGAAGAAATATTTTTTTTAGTAGAATAGGGGAAGGCTATTCAGATTTTCCCCCAATTTCCGTCTGGTGAAACTGTTGTCAGCAGGATAGAAACTGAGGGTGTATCTTTCTAACCAGTAATAGTTTTAATCTTTCCCCACCATATCCAAAAGTTTGAAAAATAGATTGACACACACTTTAACATTTGCAAAAATATTTTATCTTTGTATATCAGGAGTGTCCAGCCTTTTTCAGCTTATAAAAATGCAGCTGTGTCACTGGAACCTTGATCCGTGGCATAGTAGTTGTTTATATAGTGTTCCTGTATTGTCTATTCTTTTGTCTCCTTGCTGATAGGAAATACCTAGAAGCACCTTGGACTCATTCATGCAACCATTCCAAAGCACCCTATGGCTCTTGGTGGGTCTCTCTGTCCATGTGGTGGCGGTAATGTTGTATCTACTGGACAGGTTCAGGTCAGTTTATAAGCTGACACTCATATCAGATAATTCATACATACATACATACATACATACATACATAAATACACCAAATCAGCAACAGTCCAAATATATTGGGTCTTATACATTTATTTATTAAGAAACTTAAACAAATGTAATTCAGTTATCAGAATGAAACGCTAAATAATTCCACCAATAGTTATCCTTTCTTATTAACCTTTATAAAGTGCAATACATTTGTAAAGGATTGTGAATTTCAGAGAAAAACTAGCACAGAAGGACACAGCTTTACTATACATGCAGTAAAAGTTATATGGTTCAAGCAAAGACTAGCTATATATACACAGTAAAGCTGGAGTTGGACATGAAATAGCTTGATATGGCTATTTTGAGCCTAATCTGAACTATCATCTCATCTACAGCACATGCAGCTGATCCCAAAAGGGGAAGATCAACTGGAATGGTTTGAGGACCTTGTCCAGTTGCAACTGTTCCCCAGACACAAGATAGCTTTAGACATCTCTCTGAAATGTTTCTTTCTCCTGCCGCCAGAAGAGCCAACTGCCACTGCTGGGTCAGTGGGAGGGTTAGAGATCAACTGACAGTTGCTGGTCTCTCCACTGCCATACCACACATGCCGTCTCCCAACTTCTGAGTGTGCAGTGTGTGAGTTGAGGCAGTTTACAAGGCAGCAGAGTTTAGGTGACCTTTTACACCATGACACTCTGGGCTCTGGCAAAGCAAGCAGAACTTTGTGCATGCATGGCAAAGCAGTTGCTTGCACTTACCTACCCTTCACTCTCCACTGCTCCATTCACCCTTGAAATCAAATTTACATACCAGGAATGGTGAGCATTGACACATGCCTTTTTCCTCCAAAATAGTGCTAGTGCTTAGTGATTGGCTGTTCAGGCACCCAACTCTGTCACACTGGGGCAGGGAAAGAGACTTCAACCATGTGTATGCTTCACGATAGGACTGTCTGGGCAAAACACAGGTGCATGTTAGATCAATTAAACAGCACATGCTGGAATTTTTAAAGAGCTGGAGGACTGCGTATCATCCTTAGCTGCACTCTATACCAGTCTGTGCAAGCTCTACTGTATTTTCCTAATTAATGTTAATTTATGTAATTTGATTGCAGTAAGAATATAAGAATACATTCAGTACGGTATATTATCTTGGCTTCTGTAGGAACATTTAAAAAAAGCAGAGAAGTGTCTAAAGGTAGAACAGGTTCTTTTCAGTATGGTACAGGTAGTATTAATAAAACTGACTTAAAAAAAATGCTCCTGTGCTGCACTCGAATCCCAAGACGAAATGTCTGATTGGCTGCTTTGAGCAATGTGAGACATTTTTCGTCTTTAATACATAAGATCTAAAATGATCACTGCATAAGATCTAAAACGATACAATGATCCATGATTCAGCTATTCTAGATAAGATTTTGTGCCATGCTTTATTATATATAACATGTATTTGCAGTCCTTTTGGCCGGTTTAAAGTGAACACAGAGGAAGAAGAGGAGGATGCGCTGACGCTCTCTTCCGCCATGTGGTTCTCCTGGGGTGTCCTTCTGAACTCTGGTATTGGAGAAGGTAAGACCTATGCTTCCTCTACAGTCCATAGCTTGTTAATTTAGATCATGTATGAAAATGTTTTTTTTTTTTTTTTAACTAGACAGGGCCCACTCTGACACAGAAATAAAAAGTCACATACCAAGGCATGTCATACTGGAGGTACCATTTATAGCACTGCAAGGTGGCTGCAAAACATTGATATGCCTTGGCAAACATATGGAACTGAAACTCTTATGAGGACAATTCAATGTAGAGCTTTTGTTCAGCCTTAGAACCAGTGCGGTCTGGTTCAGGTGCAGATTACAGGCTCATGGATGTCTATGGGAACCTTTTCTGAATCGCACGTCATGAGTTTGTGAACACAATTTCAGGCCAATTTTCTCTTCTGATCCTGATGCAAACCTGACCAGATTCTGATGCAAACCTGACATGATCCTGATCCAAACCTGATCTGGACCGCTGAACAACTACTTTGTCAATAAGCTGTGAAAACGGAGCTTCAATATGAGTTCACACTCATGATTATAAAGTTCAGTAAGTTGAAATCTGTTGCTGTAGGCCCAGAGCCACCTACTTCTAGTGGTCAGAAGTGCCTAGTAATGTGATGGTATATACAGTCAGGTCCATAAATATTGGGACATCGACACAATTCTAACATTTTTGGCTCTATACATCACCACAATGGATTTGAAATGAAACGAACAAGATGTGCTTTAACTGCAGACTGTCAGCTTTAATTTGAGGGTATTTACATACAAATCAGGTGAACGGTGTAGGAATTACAACAGTTTGCATATGTGCCTCCCACTTGATAAGGGACCAAAAGTAATGGGACAATTGGCTTCTCAGCTGTTCCATGGCCAGGTGTGTGTTATTCCCTCATTATCCCAATTACAATGAGCAGATAAAAGGTCCAGAGTTCATTTCAAGTGTGCTATTTGCATTTGGAATCTGTTGCTGTCAACTCTCAAGATGAGTTTCAAAGAGCTGTCACTATCAGTGAAGCAAGCCATCATTAGGCTGAAAAAACAAAACAAACCCATCAGAGAGATAGCAAAAACATTAGGCGTGGCCAAAACAACTGTTTGGAACATTCTTAAAAAGAAGGAACGCACCGGTGAGCTCAGCAACACCAAAAGACCCGGAAGACCACGGAAAACAACTGTGGTGGATGACCGAAGAATTCTTTCCCTGGTGAAGAAAACACCCTTCACAACAGTTGGTCAGATCAAGAACACTCTCCAGGAGGTAGGTGTATGTGTGTCAAAGTCAACAATCAAGAGAAGACTTCACTAGAGTGAATACAGAGGGTTCACCACAAGATGTAAACCATTGGTGAGCCTCAAAAACAGGAAGGCCAGATTAGAGTTTGCCAAACGACATCTAAAAAAGCCTTCACAGTTCTGGAACAACATCCTATGGACAGATGAGACCAAGATCAACTTGTACCAGAGTGATGGGAAGAGAAGAGTATGGAGAAGGAAAGGAACTCTTCATGATCCTAAGCATACCACCTCATCAGTGAAGCATGGTGGTGGTAGTGTCATGGCGTGGGCATGTATGGCTGCCAATGGAACTGGTTCTCTTGTATTTATTGATGATGTGACTGCTGACAAAAGCAGCAGGATGAATTCTGAAGTGTTTCGGGCAATATTATCTGCTCATATTCAGCCAAATGCTTCACAACTCATTGGACGCCGCTTCACAGTGCAGATGGACAATGACCCAAAGCATACTGTAAAAGCAACCAAAGAGTTTTTTAAGAGAAAGAAGTGGAATGTTATGCAATGGCCAAGTCAATCACCTGACCTGAATCCGATTGAGCATGAATTTCACTTGCTGAAGACAAAACTGAAGGGAAAATGCCCCAAGAACAAGCAGGAACTGAAGACAGTTGCAGTAGAGGCCTGGCAGAGCATCACCAGGGATGAAACCCAACGTCTGGTGATGTCTATGCATTCCAGACTTCAGGCTGTAATTGACTGCAAAGGATTTGCAACCAAGTATTAAAAAGTGAAAGTTTGATTTATGATTATTATTCTGTCCCATTACTTTTGGTCCGTTAACAAGTGGGAGGCACATATACAAACTGTTGTAATTCCTACACCGTTCACCTGATTTGTATGTAAATACCCTCAAATTAAATCTGACAGTCTGCAGTTAAAGCACATCTTGTTCGTTTCATTTCAAATCCATTGTGGTGGTGTATAGAGCCAAAAATGTTAGAATTGTGTCGATGTGTCCCCAATATTTATGGACCTGACTGTATATGTACCTCTACTAAGAGAGATAGAGATCAACCTTCTAGTTGCTTTCACTAAAAAGGGCAACCAGTGGTAATACAATATAGGTTTACGTACAAACCCTAAAGTGTTATAGTCCCACCTCACCAGATCCTCACCAGAATTCCCAGTTCTGCCCAATTGCTTTCCATGACCAAGCCCAACCATGGATTAACCTTTATCTAATTAAATTTCTACAATGTAGAAATAAATAATCAGGAAATCCAGCAGTGATAGAGTGACACATTTGTTATGGTCTTGTATTGTATGTGTGTGTGTGAATTTGGCATCCTGACACTCTAGATTCCTTGCTTCCATCAAATGAATCTTCCCAGTCTTTTTATCCACACCCCCCCACACACACACACATACATACAAGACCATAACAAATCACTCTATCACTGCTGGATTTCCTGATTATTTGTTTCTACATTGTAGAAGTTTAATTAGAAAAAGGTTAATCCATGGTTGGGCTTGGTAATGGAAAGCAGTTGGGCAAAACTGGGAATTCTGGTGAGGATAGCTTGCCACTGAAACCACAAAGGGTATTAGAAGTCAACATTTAATTTTAAGTGCCCATGACCATGCAGATTTGAAACATCTGTTTTGTGTGACTATTTCCTTTAAAGAAACCCTGTTGCCAAAACAAATGTTAGTAGAAGGACCCTGCAAAAGAGCATAGTACTAATGCATAGTACATACCCTGCTGCCCATTCCTTGGATCTTCACTCTCTCATAGGGCTATGGCCAATTGAAGAATTTCCAGCATGCAAGGTCTTGAATGCCTTCACCCCTCCAGCCACACTATATTCACAGCATGTGAAATAATACACACGCATCAATAACACTCTGGAGTGTTAGTTGCAATAAAAATGCTGGTGACTGCAACTTTGCAAGATAGTGAAGATTTAAGGCATGGACAGTGGCTCCTGAATTTAGTATGCTTCTACTACAGGGTCCATTTGTAAAATTTTTGTTTTGGGAACAGATTTGCTTTTAGGAGCATGTGCATGAAAAGTCCATTGCTAATCGACTTATCTCAGATCATTTGTATAGCCACTTCAGTAATGAAATCCAGTTTTATTACAAACTAAGCATCTCTACCCATGTGTATATTAGAGTGTTACCTTAATCTCCTTAATATCTAAGGCAATATAGTAGACAATCATTTCTGTCAAGGTGATTGCTTATTTCCCAAGGCGTATGGCAGGCCACAGATTTAATAATACACCTAGCAGCGCTGTAATTAATGTTGGCAATGCCTATATATGCTTTTAATCTTCAGTGCCCTACTTTCATAAAATAAATAACACCTACATGTATTGTAATCCCATATTGAAACTTTGTTTACACCCAAAAATGCTATTACTAACTTAAACATGTAAAAGTTTAGAGGGTTATTGTAATTGATGATACTTCTGATAAGATTGCAAGTGCAGGGAAGACAGATAATTACTTCTTGGTGCTGCCCGTTAAGTGTTGATCTGTCAGCACAAGGGTGAGGATCTGGCACAGCTCCCAATGCAGGAAGAGGCGAGCATAAGGGTTGGCTAAGTGTTAGGGCATTGGTAAAGCTTTATATTAGGTTAATAGTCATGGTTTAGAGGTTTTGTTAGGACAATATTAGCTTTATTTATACACAGCAGAACATCAGGTTCACGTACGTTCCCATTGTCCACCACCCCCTCTAAATTCTCCTGCCATGATGCAGCACTTCATGCCTTGATCTAGGGAATATCCAATTGCCTCTCAAGGGATCGGGAAGGAATTTGTTTCCCTGTAGGAGCAAATTATATCGTGTTTTGCTGGGGGGGAGGGGGGTTGCCTTCCTCTGGATCAACTGTGGGTATAGGATTATAATTTTATTTTTAATGGTTGAACTGAATGGACTTTTGTCTTTTTTCAGCCAGACTATGTAACTATGAACAGGCAGTTGCCAGTGTGATCCTTGTTACATGGATGAAGAGGGGGGGTGTTCCTGTTTAGGAGCGACCTGTTTCAGGAGGGACCAAAGGGCCCCTGATCGTCTGTGAGCAAATGTAGCATACGTAAATAAAACTTATTTTGCATAGTCTTAACTTTTCATTGCTTCTCCTTTTACAGGAGCACCAAGGAGTTTTTCTGCTAGGATCCTGGGCATGGTTTGGGCTGGATTTGCTATGATCATTGTAGCTTCCTATACTGCCAACCTGGCTGCCTTCCTGGTGTTGGACAGGCCTGAGGAGAGGATAACAGGAATCAATGACCCCAGGGTTAGTATGAAGACGCCAGAATTTTCTTAAAATGTGACTCCACAGAAACCTGACATTTCAGTGTTAGATGGACAGGGATGTATTGAATAACCCCTCTAAGTCATTATATCTTTTAGATACTCTAGAATAAAATTTACTAATGGAGCTTTTGCCTGGGTTTTTCCCAATATAGATTGTCACTCCTGCTGCAATTTTTAGAATGTAAAATAAATTTTGAAAATTAAACAGGTAGACTGAGACCTCATTGTTTGGCACTGGAGTGAGGGAAGGAGTCAAGGGGAGTGGAGTATTTGAAATATATAGGAGGCCCACTGTGTGTGTATATACAGTCATGGCCGAAATTGTTGGCACCCTTGATATTTTTCCTGAAAATCAAGTATTTCACACAAAAAAGGTATTGCATTAACACATTTTTGCTATACACATGTTTATTCCCTTTGTATGTATTGGAACAAATATAAAACAGAGGCAGAAAAGCAAATATGACATAATGTCACACAAAACCCCAAAAATGGGCTGGACAAAAGTATTGGCACCCTTAACTTAATATTTGGTTGCACACCCTTTGGAAAACATAACTGAAATCAGTCGCTTCCTATAACCATCAATAAGCTTCTGACACCTCTCACCCGGAATTTTGGACCACTCTTCCTTTGCAAACAGCTCCAGGTCTCTCTTATTGGAAGGACACCTTTTCCCAACAGCAATTTTAAGATTTCTCCACAGGTGTTCAATGGGATTTAGATCTGGGCTCATTGCTGGCCACTTCAGAACTCTCCAGCGCTTCTTTGCCATCCATTTCTGAGTGCTTTTTGACGTATGTTTGGGGTCATTGTCCTGCTGGAAGACCCAGGATCTTGGACGCAAACCCAGCTTTCTGACACTGGGCCCTACATGCGACCCAAAATCCTTTGGTAAATCCTCAGATTTCATGATGCCTTGCACACAGTCAAGGCACCCAGTGCCAGAGGCAGCAAAACAACCCCAAAACATCATTGAACCTCCACCATATTTTACCGTAGGTACTGTGTTTTGTTCTTTGTAGGCCTCATTCCGTTTTCGGTAAACAGTAGAATGATGTGCTTTACCGAAAAGCTCTATCTTGGTCTCATCTGTCCACAGACGTTTTCCCAGAAGGCTTTTGGCTTACTCAAGTACATTTTGGCAAACTGTAGTCTTGCTTTTTTATGTCTCTGTGTCAGCAGTGGGGTCCTCCTGGGTCTCCTGCCATAGCGTTTCATTTCATTTAAAATGTCGACGGATAGTTCGCGCTGACACACTGATGCTCCCTGAGCCTGCAAGGACAGCTTGAATGTCTTTGGAACATGTTTGGGGCTGCTTATCCACCATCCGGACTATTCTGCGTTGCAATCTTTCATCAATTTTCCTCATCCGTCCACGACCAGGGAGATTAGCTACAGTGCCATGGGTTGCAAACTTCTTGATAATGTTGCGCACTGTGGACAAAGGCAAATCTAGTTCTCTGGAGATGGACTTGTAACCTTGAGATTGTTGATATTTTGCCACAATTTTGGTTCTCAGGTCCTCAGACAGTTCTCGTCTCCTCTTTCTGTTGTCCATGCTTAGTGTGGCACAGACAGACACACAATGCAAAGGTTAAGTGAACGTCTCTCCTTTTTATCTGCTTTCAGGTGTGATTTCTATATTGCCCACACCTGTTACTGGTGAGTTTACAGGAGCATCACATGCTTGTAACATTCTTATTTATCCGCAGTTGTGAAAGGGTTGCCAATACTTTTGTCCAGCCATTTTTGGAGGTTTGTGTGACATTTTATGTCGAATTTGCTTTCTTTCCTCCCTTTTTTTGTTTTGTCCCAATACACACAAAGGGAATAAACATGTGTATAGCAAAACATGTGTTAATGCAATACGTTTCGTGATACATGATTTCCTGGAGAAATATCAAGGGTGCCAACAATTTCGGCCATACTGTATATATATATATATATATATATATAGTGAAGGAAATAAGTATTTGATCCCCTGCTGATTTGAATGTTTGCCCACTCACAAAGAAATGATCAGTCTAAAAATCGAATGGTAGGTGTATTGTAACACGGAGAGATAGACTAGCAAAAAAAATTCAACAAGAAATACATATCTAACAAATTATGCACTGATTTGAGGGAAATAAGTATTTGATCCCCTATCATTCAGCAGGATTTCTGGTTACCAGGTGTCTTTCATACAGGTAACAAGCTGAGATTAGAAGCAGTCTCTTAAAAGAAGTGCTGCTAATCTCATTTTGTTACCTGTAAAAAAGACACCTGTCCACAGGAGCAATCAAACAATCAGACTCCAAACTCTCCACCATGGCAAAGACCAAAGAGCTGCCCAAGGATGTCAGGGACAAGATTGTAGACCTGGCTGACTGGGCTACCAAACTAGATCATTTCTTTGTGAGTGGGCAAACATTCAAAATCTGCAGGGGATCAAAGACTTATTTCCTTCACTGTATATATATATTCATTTAGACTTTGTTACACTTTCCATTTAAAACAGTATGTACAGTATGTATTACATTTAGATTGAATCTGGAACTTGTCCAAAATAATGAATGGGAGTTCTAGTAGTTTATATATCAGGGAAGGGTACTTCAGATTAAACATGACTGGGATACCCCATAATCACTTTAATGACTACTGCAAATGAGCTATCATGTGAAAACCATGCCACCAAGTGCAACCAAGCTGTTTGTTTCCAGGTTGTGGGAGTGACAACTCTGTGTGAAGGTGAGACATGAAACTTACCTGAGACAGAAGACAGGAAAATAGATTCAATCAGTCACAGCAAAGAGACAGCACTTATGATAATACTTTAGAGCAGTGGTTCTCAACCTTCCTAATGCCGCGACCCCTTAATACAGTTCCTCATGTTGTGGTGACCCCCAACCATAAAATAATCGTTTTACCTCCAATACTGCTGCTTTCTACACAGTAGCTGCTCTTTACACATTGGAAATATGTGTTGTCCGATGGTCTTAGGCGACCCCTGTGAAATGGTGGTTCGACCCCCAAAGGGGTCGTGACCCACAGGTTGAGAACCACTGCTTTAGAGGAACTTCAGCTTGATTTTATATTTTTTTTTATTTAAGGTTAGCATCTGCAAATACTGTAGCCACTGAATTTTAAAAGTCAGGTACCAGTGCCTGGGGTCCAGCACTGTCTTCCCGCATGTAAATTCTACTTCTGCTGCAGGCCACCATCCTGGATACAGGAGCTGGCTGTGGCTTCCTGAGGAGTCAAAGCTGCCTTCCCACTGCACATGCAGGAGCTTGGGTAGTGCTTTGTGAAAGATCCTGCAGCCTTCTGGGATATGTAATGTGTGTCAGAAGGCTGCAGAAGAGGATGAGGCAAGGGAATCCATCCTCGTCTAGGCAAGGATTTCCGGAGAGGTAGCAGGTAGTGATAAAAAATCGGTACTCGCTCCTCCCCTCTAAAAAACCTATATCTCAGTTACAGGCCGGGATGAGTCATCAAAACAGTGGGACTTCACATTTTGAGTGAAGTTCTGATTTCCCATCACATTCATTCACCAACAGTCAGATTTCTCCACCTTGATCCACAAGTTCAGGAACACCATCTTGCCCAAATAGATAGATTTGAAGTCACAGGCTTACTTTTACTCCTTCCTGATGTCCCTTTAACAGGATCTGTATGCCCAGGGGTAAGGAAGGATCAACCAATCATGTGACCACTGTGATCGGCTGCCCCTATGGTCACATGATCAGGATCTGGCAGGACCAGATCATTAGTACGGACTGAGAGCTGTGAGCATACTCTCAGCACAAAAAATTCTAATGCCAATGGACACATATACAGTATGTGGCATGTGAGTAGCAAAGCCCATCCTCCTTGCCACCGCACATATGCGTTATATGGGTGGCAAGAGGTTAATCTCTACTGAGCTCTCTATAGAGCATGAGAAAAACAAACAACCCAATTGGCATTTAAGTGAAAAATGGTTATAAATCAGGTTGTGATTCTATTTTTCAGTTTGTATTGCATTAAACACAACTGCAGACTCGGGATATCAGAAGAGAATTACAAATGGTAAATCTGACTGAATATAAAACACGTGATTCAGAATTGATTTATTATTATTATTATTATTATTATTATTATACAGTCCAATAGTTCGCTCAGCGCTGTACATTACAATGGGGGACAGAACAATAACAATACAATACAATGCAAAACATGAGGGGATCGAGGGCCCTGCTCTTTCGAGTTTACAATCCAGGAGGGAGGGGATGGTGGCACAGGAGGAGATAGCTGTGGGGGATGGAGTGGTAGGAAGAGTGGAGGAGGTCGGCAAGTTAGCAGGGGGTGGGGTAGGCTTCCCTGAAGAGGTGGGTTTTCAGGGTGCGCCTAAAGGAGAGGAGAGTAGGTGATAATCTGATGGGTTGGGGCAGGGAGTTCCAGAGGATGGGTGACACCCTGGAGAAGTCCTGGAGGCGGGCATGGGAGGAGGAGACCAGAAAACTAGAGAGAAGGAGGTCTTGTGAGGAGCGGAGTGTGCGTGCTGGGTGGTACTTGGATATTAGGTCAGTGATGTAGTACGGGGCAGTATGGTGGACAGCTTTGTACGTCAGTGTTAGGATTTTGAATTTGATCCGTTGCGCAATCGGAAGCCAGTGGAGGGATTGGCAGAGGGGGGTGGCGGAAACGGAGCGGCTGGAAAGGTGAATGAGTCTGGCAGCCGTATTCAGGATCGAGTGAAGTGGGGATAGCCAGTAGCGAGGCAGGCCAGTAAGGAAGGAGTTGCAGTAATCGAGCCGTGATATGATGAGGGAGTGACCACATTTATTTTAGTCCACATGCAAACTGGACGTTTTAACAGCGGCTGTTTTTGATTTTTGACGTTATTTTCTGCAGCCAGTAAACCCCCCAGCATGTTATTCTATGTGTCCATACACACATAGACTGTAATCAACATTTTTTGGCAGGGGTGTTTCTTGGCTGGAAAAAAACCCCAGTACTAGTGGGTTTCTAGAGGAGTTTTTTTAGCTGTATAAAAACGCTCAAACGCTGTAAAATGTCGCAAACCAGTGTTTTTGGAGTTTTTTTTTACCCCCAAAAAAATTTTTTTTTTGGGCAAAAAAAACCCTCTAAAATACGCATCTAAACGCTAAAGCAAAAACGCTGAAAAACTCACGATTTTAACGTGACTTTACACAGCTAACGTTACCAGTCTTATTAAACCGCCCCGTGTGCATGGAGCCTTAAACACATGGCATGCTAATGAGTAATGAATTTTATAACTGCCATGGACAGCATATCAACACGTGGAAACATAGGCTGTTTCAATATTTGGAGAGGGATTGCTTTCTGAGATGGCGTTCTCTGCAGGGTGTAGAGAGCAATAAATATATCACTGATAGGAGTAACTGGATTGTTACATGGCTTCCCATGACGTAATAGACACAAGATAGCATAAGACAAATACTAGCATAAGACACAAAGCAAATATTGTCTCACAGTAAGAGATGGTTGCCTGATGCCTCAGTGTTATCACTGGAGACCAGAAATTCCTCTAACATGTAAATCTTGGTTTCCCTTGAGCTGAGGGTAGGTGATGCGGTTTCAGCATACGCTTGCATTGTATTGTTATACTTCTGACTTACTAACCATTTTCTTGTGTCCACAGCTGCGAAATCCCAGCGACAAGTTTATTTACGCCACAGTCAAGCAGAGCTCCGTGGACATCTACTTCAGGAGACAGGTGGAGTTGAGCACCATGTACAGGCACATGGAGAAACACAACTATGAGAGCGCTGCTGAGGCCATCCAAGCGGTGCGAGACAAGTAAGTCGTTCGCTGTCTACACCAGACATGTCCAGATGGTGGTTTTAATACCATTTGTGGCCCCTTTCATTGGTCTTTGTGGTCCTCACTGGTTTCAAAATATAAGAGGAACAAGGTCTAAGCTGTCCTGCAGTCGATAAGATACCCTACCCACTATCACTTTGCATCTCTGCTTCAGAAATGTTTTAAATTGACCATGTCACTAAGCAGTTCCTTAAAGGACAGCCTGCAAAGAGAAGATTGAATACTCTCTTGTCCTACCATCTGTGGCACCGATCTTCTCTCCTAAAGTGAAACTAAAGGCAAACCTTTTATGTCATTTTGAATAGAGCGAGGGAGGGTTATAACCCCTGTTAGGTTGTTCTTTGCCATTTGTGTCTCATTGGGGAGATTTTCATTCACTTCCTGTCCAGGGCTGTGTCTAGGGTAGTGGTGTATTTAGGTTTTGTGCTGCTCTAGGCAACACAAAAATTGAATGTGCCTGACATTGACCAACAACACTCCTGCCCCCCCCCAACTGAGGGTGCTTCCACTAACACATCCCCCCCTCCCAACGAAAGAGAGAGAGACACCTTAACAGCTCCAGACATCCTTGGGAACGAGAGTCGGACTCTCCATACACCACCAAGCAGCCCGCAGCCTCTCTCTGATCTTACCTGGACGCCATGCCGTATGTGACCCTTCTTCTATCCTTTCTTCTGTGGGGATGTGCTGCCCCCCCTGAAAAGTGCCGCCCTAGGCAAATGCCTTGTTTGCCTTGTAGTAAATACACCCCTAATCTAGGAGGGTGCTGGGTGAGCTGAGCCCCCCAGATTTCTTCTGTGCCCCCCCCCCAGAGACCCCATCATGTCTCTTACATTCCCACAGTGCCCAGCAGCCCAGCCAGCACATTTCTCCTCTCCTCCATATGAGAGGGGAGAAGCTTGATCTGCTCTGCCTTCCCCTGCCCGTCTCCCCCTGTGCCTGTCCACACTCCAGTCTGTGTAGCCTGTGCAGTGCCTGTGAGGGGGATTTGTGGGCAAGGAAGTTTAAACAGAGCAGCCAGGAGCTGTTTTGTGTGCAGGATATGATGCATCTGAGCCAATGGAGCTCCAGAGGACCATCCATGTGCATGAGCACTGTGATCAGACTCTCCTCCTCCCTCTCTCCCATCTATCTATCTATCTATCTATCTATCTATCTATCTATCTATCTATCTATCTATCTATCTATCTATCTATCAATCTATCTATCTATCTATCTATCTATCTATCTATCTATCTACCTATCTATCTATTCATCTATATCTATCTTATCCAGGGCTTTTTTTCAAAGAAAATAGATGCAGGTACTCCCTCTTTCTGAGTCACCCCCTGTCTCTGCCCCCTACCCACCTCTGAGCACCGTGCCTTTATTCCATCCCCTACTCATCTCCCAGTGCCACCCCTTTTAGAGACTATAGAATCAAGTATCATTTGGTGGTGCTAAGTAATTTGTATCGAATTTGTTAATAATAAGAAAAGCGATAAAATAGATCCCTGGCAGTCAGCAACCCCCCTTAGCAACAATAGTTCTTCCTGCAACAATAGACCCCCCTGCAGCAACATTATATCCCCCATTGACAATAGACCCACCCAGAAACAATAGACCCCCCAGCAATATGACACCCCCCCCCCCAGCAACAATAAACTTCCTGCAACAAAATACTGCTCCAGTAACAATAGATCCACTCCAGCAACAATAGATCTGCTAGCAGCCAGTATCAATAGACCCTGTAGCAGCTAGACTTGATAGGCCCAACCTCCAACAGTAGATCTCTGCCAGTTAAAAATGACCCCCTCAGCAACAATATATCCCCTACCAGCAACAGCAGACTTCCTCCCACAATAGATCCCACCAGCAACAATAGATCTCTCAGCAGCCAGCAACAATAACAGCACCCTCCAGAACACTCCACAACCCCTTGCCATTACAAATATCAGGAGCTAGAGGTGCCAGAACTGCGATCCCACTGAAAAAAGCCCTGATCTTATCTAATCTATCTAATATAATTTATCTCCCAAGAAAAAGTAATTGGGAGTTGGCAAACCTGGTGTGCATTCATTGATCCATGAGACAGTCTGCGAGGAACAGGTGAAGTAAGGTGACACTCTGATAAGGACATTTGATGTAAGGGGGCACTCTGATGGGGACCCTGATATAAAAGAGGGACTGTGATAGGGACACCTGATATAGGGGACACAGTTTTTGTTTATTCATCCCAATCTAACAGTCCAATATATACAGTAAATTCCCTGTTCACTCCTGCGCCACCACTGCATCTGTCAGACATTGCTTCCAGGTCATGATTCGTGGTACAGAAGCTCACTGAATAATCAGGGATTACTTGTGACATTGTGCATTTGTGACAGTCAGTGACTCACACACAGCCCCCTGACTTTTTTTTTAGAGCACCCTCAGATCATATAGGCTAAATCCGGCCCTGTTCCTGTCCAATAGCCAAAACAAACGAGAGGAAACTTCTCCAAAAGCGAGGGAATTCCTGGCTGCAATCAGAGTCACCAGAACTATTGATATACAAATTTTGGGTTGTCCCCAGAACCCAGAAGATTTCCTCTCTATTATCATTCTGGGGACAAACCAAAATTTGTGATTTTCTTTCATTTTCAATTTTGATAATTTTGTCCAAAACTAAAAAATAAATGTTAGCTTTTCTTTAACCACCTCCCGCCCACCATATAGTAATATGACGGACGCAAGGTGGTTCTCTCATTCTGAGAGGACGTCATATAACGTCCTCCCATTCTCATTGAGTATGCGCGGCTCAGGGAGCGCGCAGCGTGGCGATCGGTGGTGCGCGGTGTCCTTCGGACACAGCGAAACACCGATCATGGAAAGAGCCGAAGATGTCGGCTCGGTCATGTGATCAGCTGTGTCCAATCACAGCTCATCACATGTAAACAGGGAAATGCCGGTTATCGGCATTTCTCTCCTCTCCAGCTGTCACGCTGACAGCTGGAGAGGAGAGCCGGTAATCGGCTTTCCGCGGAGGGTACATGTACACTGATCATCAGGGCACTGATGATCAGTGTGCCCTGATGATCAGTGTAGCCCCAGCAGTGCCACCTGTCAGTGTCCATCAGTGCCTTATGTCAGTGCTCATCAGTGCCTCGTGCCAGTGCCCATCAGTGCACATCAGTGCCTACCAGTGCACATCAATGCCACATATCAGTGCCCATCTGAGCTGCCTTTCAGTGTCACCCATCAGTGCCAGTGAGTGCTACCTATCAGTGCTGTCAATCAGTGCCACCTATCAGTGCTGCCAATCAGTGCCACCTATCCGTGCCAGTCAGTGCCGCCTATCATGCCAGTCAGTGCTGCCTATCAGTGCGCATCAGTGCCGCCTATCAGTGCCAGTCAGTGCCACGTAACAGTGCGAGTCAGTGCTGCCTATTAGTGCCAGTCAGTGCTGCCTATCAGTGCTGCCTATCAGTGCCATATATCAGTGCCATGTATCAGTGCTGCCTTTCAGTGCCCATCAGTGATGCCTGTCAATGCCCATCAGTGCCACCTACCAGTGCCTCCTCATCAGTGCCCATCAGTGCCACCTATCAGTGTCCATCAGTGCAGCCTATCAGTGCCCAGCAGTGCAGCCTCATTAGCGCACATCAGTGAAGGAGAAAAATCACTTATTTACAAAATTTTATAACAAAAACTAAGAAAAAACATTTTTTTTTCAAAATTTTCAGTGGTTTTTGCTTTGTTTAAGAAAAAATAAAAAGCCCAGAGGTGATTAAATACCACCAAAATAAAGCTCTATCTGTCACAACAAAATGATAAAAATTTCATATGGGTACAGTGTTGTTTGACCGCGCAATTCTCATTCAAAGTGCAACAGCGCTGAAAGCTGGAAATTGGCCTGGGCAGGAAGGGGGTATAAGTGCCCTGTAGGCTAGCGGTTAAAGAGCTAAGCAGTCTGAAAAATTGTCTGCAACTGACATGTCCAGGTGCAATGGTTGCCATGTCCCCTTTTGTCCTTAGTAGTTCTGCTGCCTTTTCAGCACAACTGTACTGTGTATTGATGTGGAAGAAACCACATCTTTAGGTGGCAAACCAGGACACTGACACTCCCAGAAGTGTCGGATTCTGGTAATAGCAGAGGTCCAATTATGTGTTTCTAAATTTAGGATATTACATTATTTGTTCCGCTTAGTTGCAAATAGTTTTTATCAGTGTTCTTTTTTAAGGAGGGTAGTCCATACAAAAGTGATATTTCAGTTAAAGTGATATATTATATACACTATATTGCGAAAAGTATTGGGACGCATTCAGGAGCTCAGTGAATTCAAGTGTGGTACCATATGTTGCCACCTGTGCAATAAGTCCATCTGTGACATTTCCTCGCTACTAAATATTCCACGGTCAACTGTTAGTGGTATTATAACAAAGTGGAAGCAACTGGGAACAACAGCAAATCAGCTACAAAGTGGTAGGCCAAGTAAAATGACAGAGCGGGATCAGCGCATGCTGAAGCGCACAGTGTGCAGAAGTTTTGAACTGTCTGCAGAGTCAATAGTTAAAGACCTCCAAACTTCATGTGGCCTTCAGATTAGCACAACAATGGTGCATAGAAAGCTTCATGGAATGGGTTTCCATGGCCAAGCAGCTGTATCCAAGCCTTACATCACCAAGTGCAATGCAAAACGTCGAATGCAGTGGTGTAAAGCACGCCGCCACTGGACTCTAGAGCAGTGGAGATGTGTTCTCTGGAGTGAGGAATCACGCTTCTCTATCTGGTAATCTGATGGACGTGTCTGGGATTTGGTGGTTTCCAGGAGAATGATACTTGCCTGACTGCATTATGCCAAATGTAAAGTTTGGTGGAGGGGGGATTATGGTGTGGGGTTGTTTTTCGGGGGTTGGGCTTGGCCCCTTAGTTCTAGTGAAGGCAACTCTTTAGGCGTCAGCATACCAAGACATTTTGCACAATTTTCTGCTACCAATTTTGTGGGAACAGTTTG